TGCAGCTCCATCCTTCCTTCCAGATTCAGTTCAAAAATCAACGACTAAATCTTTCCTGATCTTCAAAGACTAAACTTATTTTCCTCTAAAACACTATCCAAACTGATTCCCCTCTGGCTTTTTTCAGTAGATACAGACAACATTGCTGTTGTTGCCAGTGAACCCACCCCCTACTTCTGCCTGCAGAAGGGTGGCTGAAGCTCTCTAGTAAAGAACACTTCAGACAGATCCACATTCAGACCCACCGCTCACTTTCCTCACGCCTGCATTTCTAGACAGGTTTTTCTCATCACAGAGAGGAGTGTAACCCTTTACCATCCACCACTAAGTCCTACTTCTGCCTCACATTGCTATCAACACTAGCACTGAGAAGGGAAGCCTACCCAAGGGCTTTGAAAGAACATGACATTAAAATAAGGCTTTTTTGCACAAAATGTTCAATTTGAACTTGCATGTTCTTTGGTATTTTAGTTTGAGAAGTTGAAACCAAGAAAAACAACTATGAAAATCGACTTTTTCTATGTATCTGGCTTATGCTCAGCCAGATGTTAATATAATCTTGGACAAAAATGTAAATATGACAGACTGTTTTTCAGTTAGTAAGCCTTGAGAAGTTTTGAAAGGAGAACAACCAAAAGCAGGTTTACATTTTAAGCAAGGGTCAACAAACTTGTTCTACAAAGAACCAGTCAGTTAGTAAATAACTTGGTGGGTCACATAAAGTCTTTGCTGCATAGTCTTCATTGCTGTCATCTTTAACAATTTCTTTTAAAATGTAAAAGCAAAAACAAAACAAGAACATCATTTGACCCATGCTGTTAACTGACTCAAGGCAAATGAACCCAAGACAAGAATACAATGGGACAGAATACAATGCCCAAAAGTGTTCTGCTGGCATTTAGCATCAACAACTACCTGTAAGGGGCTACAAAAATGATTTCATGAGTTATTTCACACGTGGAAGGAATGTAAAGGCAGGGTGCACTATGATCTTTTGACCTGAAACTCCAGGCCTGGAAGAAAGGGCAAAGGCTATATGCCAAGTTATCCCCATACAGAGTCTCTCAAGACTATTTCCCTTAACAGAATGCTAATCAAAATGGAAACACCTTACTTTCCCACATACACAGACACAAACCTAATGCACAAAGTGGAATTACTCTCCGGAAAATGTGGCTTTACAGAGAGGCTCACACTCATCTGCAATGACGAAAGGATAAAGACTTGGATTTGAAGTTTTACCAATAGTTCTGCTAAAGATAGAGTTTTTGCATTCGTAAAGCTGGGACAGGGCATAAAGGAGATAATTTCTACAACTCTCTCTGATGTCAAACAATGACTATACTAAATAATGAAACCACTCAGGAAATACCTAACAGGAAGAAGGGGGCAGGGAGGAGGAGAGGCAGCAAAGGGAGTTGGCTTAGAAGGCCCCATTACAGGGCAGAGTACTGTTCTCTCTCTGTTCGACCAGCACCTTGTTCAATACAAGGCCATTTCAAGACGTCAGGGTGCCTTCATATCAATATTAAAACCACCCACATCCCACAGGAAACATAACATATAGCGAATAGTATCACCATTTCCTACTGTCTTAATATTATATTTAAAGATATTTATCTAAGTGTTAAGAATGATTATGTAAGGGATGGGGCAGGAGCCAATAAAAACTTTTCAATTTTCCAGTATAAACTAGAAAGTTAGTTAGTTGCTCTGAGGCATTACACCTGTAATTCCAAGAGGCTAAAGCATCCTTACTCCATGATAGACCAGAAGATTCCCAGTAAGCCACGTGAAAAAAAAAATCTACCTTTACCCTGCCAAAGTACAGAAAGGACTCAAAGTGCCAAGCCTTAGGGAAATGAAAAGAAAGTATATGAGACAATTTTATCTAGAGCCAAAATGACTGTCTCCTCTTTCATGATGACAGAACCCCCATCCATACAGTCTAAGGATGTAAGAACCTCGTTTTTAAAAACATTGGCAAGACACAAAATGAAAGCATGCCTTCATAGTAAAAAGCAGACACAGGACCTATCTGCCAAACACACACAAACCCCAGGCCTTCAGGAGGACTCTCTTCTGGGGCGTGGTGCTTATCAAGTCTGTCAGCAGAGTCACAAAAAGACCTTGACAAGCCCAGCCATAGAAAACTCTAGAATTTACACAAATGGACACTTAAATTATGGTGAGAAAAGATGGGTTATCAACTGTCACCTCAACCACCTCAGATCACCTGGAGATGCAGTTTGGGGTTTGGCAGGGAGTGACACAGCTACTTGAAATGTGGTATTTCACATCTGTGTTCGCAGTCATGAGGAGAGTGCTATGACTTCACCCCACTGTTCGAGCATAGCTGCCACTGCAAAGCATTTTAGTTTCAGCTCTAGAAGGTGTCTGGCTGTCTACTACCACATCCGTGGGAGCGCTGGGCCTAAGCAAGAGGCATGGGATCTTCCCCTCCTCCATATCAACTGAAGAACGGCTTGAAGCTTCTTTTTCACCACATTTGCCACACACAGAGTACAAAGACCAAGAGTTCTCATGAGATTCACCACGGAAAATCTATCTCCTAATCTAAGCCACGGAAGGACACTGGTTTTAATGTTTTAATAACTGCTATTTCAATCACTAAAAATAATCCACTCAAAAAAGAATCTAATTCTTCACTGTGAAATGTAATATACTACACACACACACACATACACACAAGCATAGTCAGGGGAGGGCTTAAGGGATTAAGTGCTGCACCTCACCCATGTTAAGCATATACTGTATAGTATATGAGTATATACAATATACTGAGTTAAATCCCTAGCTCAGAAAAGTAATTTTTTAAAAAAATACTATGTTAAAAAAAATACTACATTTGTATAGTAAATATCCTTATAGGAAATGTGGCACAAAGTGTAGAGGGGAGGGGGGATGAATTGACTAGTAAATCTATTGTGGGGGAATCCAAAGAATTTAAAAAACTATATCAGTGAAATTTATTCATTTTCTTTTTTTTTCCTTTAAAAAAGTTTATGTGTACTGTGTGCACCTGTGTTTGAGATAAACCCATGTGAATGGACTGTCCAGGGACCAGGAGAAGTCGGCTGCTCTGTAGTTGAAGTGATAGGCCTATGGGTATTTGTGAACCACCTGATGTGGGCCCTGGGAACTGAACTTGGGTCCTCTAGAAGTGCAGCAAGCATTCTCAACTGCTGAGCTACTTCTCTTGTCCATTTTTACTCACTTTCACGGCAGGAGGAAACCCTGAGCGAGTCCCACACAGAAAAGACAGAGGCCTCCCCACTCAGCGTGTTAGGCCTGCCCTTTACCATCTGTACTGCAGTATGCAATCAGCACTGAACCAGAGTTATTTGGGGTTTTGAAATTGATACCAAAAATGAATGTCCTTTGGTAGCTGTACCAGCTTCCACCAAGCCTCTTACAAATACACTTGCGAGATGCAAGATGACATTTAAAATCTGCTTCCTCAGAAAAGAAAAGTCCCACTCAAGACTAACTGCCAAGAACTTGCAACTCAAACTTCCTTAAGCTCAGACATCACAACACCCAGATTTCCATTCAGACTGTATGAAGGAAATCAGAAGAAAACAATATACCTACTTAAAAGAATATACAACTATTTAAACATAGATTTGCTCTTCTGTTTTTTTTTTTAATTCAAGTATGAGTATTTTTTTACGTGTGCACATGTAAATGTCTGGTCCCCACAGAGGCCAGAAGAGGGTGTTGGGTCCCATGGAACTGGAGTTACAGGCAGTTGTGAGGTGCCAGGTGGGTGCTGTGAACAAAACCTGGGTCCTCTGTAAGAGCAGCAAGTCACTGAGGTAACTTTCCAGCCACTTAACCATACTTATTACCAACACACTGGTTCCCCATGACTTGTGGCTCACTTGGAAAACCATTTGAAAAGTGTGTTGTGATTCACCTAAAAAGTAATTAGAATCAAAGAAAACTATATAGGGAGGCAGGTGGAATATGAGCTCAATCACGTGTCTTAGATGTTACTAAATACTCAAGCTCAAGAATTTAAAAAGTTGAGATACTGCTTCCCAAGAAACAGAGTGAAGGGGTGAACAATACATTTCTGACCACATCATCCCCAAGAGTCGCCAGCCCCCTTAATACCCATTAACACGCAGAAGAACTTGGCGCTCCATAGACATTACCCCATCATTAGTCACTTTTAAAAATCTTGATTCAAAGAAGTCAAGAGAAAATGGGAACCAGCGTTCCCAGTTACTGGGGAAAGTCCTGCGCCCCACGTTTTCCATTTCCTCTCTTTTCTCTGCTCAGCCCCTGCACTACATCCGCTGCTTCCCCTTCTCCTTTCTAGCTAACACCAGCTCTCCTTTACTTTCTCCATCAAGTAGCCTCATGCTGCCCTCTGGTCCTCCTGAGCCCTCTCCCACATACTATTTTCTTCTGCATTTTCTCTTGGCATCTCTGCGCACACCTTTACAGCCAATGTCGCTTCATTCCTTGCCTCCTGAACATTCATTCATTCCCCCCAATTCCCTTCTGATCGCCTAGTCTCACTTCTCTCGTCCCTGGTGTCCTCTGTCCCTTTACTTCATTTGAAGCCCCTCTTAAGTCCTCAACCCCTCATTTCCCCCTTCACATTTCCTTCCCCTTTCCTGTCTTTCTAATCTATGTTCGTATCCATTCTACCCCTCCTTCTCTCTTTCCGTACAATTTCCTGTGTTCCCCCGACTCTGTCCCTCTGGGACCCCTCTGCCGCCGCCCCGGAGCCCCCTCGTGTCTACAACACCCCGGGTTCCCGACCGCTCCGGTTCCCCGTCCTCCGCCCGCAGCCCCGCGTCCCCGCCCGCCCCTCTCACCCTCGCCCTGCCGGCTCGCACTGCCCTCTCGGCGGCCCCCGGGGTCTCCCTCCCGGGGCGTCAAGCCCTCGCGTGCCCTCTCCCAGGCCCCTGGGCACCCGCCCCCCGTGTCTCAGCTCCCGTCCCGGGCCGCGGCCGCTCCCTCACCGATGGTGGAGATGAAGGTGGTGTTGAAGGCGTCCTCAGAGAAGCGGAACAGGAGGCAGGTTTTGCCGACGCCGGAGTCGCCGATGAGCAGCAGTTTGAACAGATAATCGTACGTCTTCGCCATCTTCTCGCTCCGGCCCTCTCTGACCGCGGAGAGCAAGGAGGCGGTGGAAAGAGGCGCGGAGGGGGCCTCGGGCGAGGGGGCGTGTCCGCCGAGCCGCCCGCGGCCCGCCCCGCCTCTAGTCCCGCCCCTTGGAAGGGACCGGAGCGCCCCGCCCTGCCCCGGCCAATCCGCCGACGTTTTGTCATCATCTTCCGCGCCGCGAGGCTTTATGGGATTTGTAGTACTCTGGGAGCACCTCGGGCGTGCCTGGCCCGGGCTGTCCAAGTAACCCCGATGGATAACAAAATCTTCATGATGCGGAACGGTGCACTAGGAGTTTCCTCTCATACTGGGAAAAGACGCTTTGTTTCGAATTCCTATTCTCTCGCCTTGGGAACTTGACTTTGTTGTTTCTTTGTTCGTGAGGACCTTTCAAATCCAAGACTTCGAAATCTGAGTCCCGCAGTTCGCGTTATCTACTTGCCTGGACCCGGAGCAAGGAAGCTTTCTTAGAGATGCGGTGGTCCTCAAAGTCTGCGGATTATCTATAGAGTATTATCCTGCTTCTCCAGTTTCTGCCCGGGTTCCTAGGTCCCTTCCACGGCCCTTAGTGATAGATCTCAAGAGAGTGATATTACTCTGCTCAGTTCATTCCCACTCGTGCCCTCTGAACGACAGGCCACAGCCAAATAGGATAATTATTTTAAAGGATCTACCTCAGAGACAGCGCCCCACTACCCGTAGGAGGAGGATGGATTTTTTTTTTTTTTTTTTTTTTTTAGAACGAGAAAGAGAATGTGGGAAGACTTGTGCTACAGCTCTGTGTCATGTAAAGTAGCATCACCACAGACGGGAACTTTGGCCATGAAGCTGTAGAGAGTAAGATTTGGATTTAGTCTTGGATAAGCCATTTCACCGCTGTGTGAAGTCTAACAGGCTTGGCACTTCTCAGTTTTCTCATCTGTAAGACAAACTACTTCATAGGGTTGTAGTGAAAATTAAATACTGAATGTGAAAGCACTTTGAAACTCGTAAGGTGCTGTGAAGTGTAGGTGTTAGCTGTGTTTAAATTTATCACTCCTCAGGAGGCTTTCAATTAATGGGTGGCAAAAGGAAGGGAGGAAACAGCACTTTGATGTATTCAATTCAAGCCTTCATTATTTATTACCTTAGACTAATTCTTCATTGTTCGGTGCTCTTTTATCTGCAGGTGGCAGAAACCCAGCCAGATCAGGCTGCTGTGAGAGAAGGGTTTACTGTCCAGGTCATGAGGAAGGAGTAGGTGAGGGAAACCAGCTTTGCCATGTCAGAAATCTTCATCCCATGGCTGCTTCATTTTCAATTTTAATTTAAAATGTCAAATATCAGCAGCTAACACAGCCCCAACACACACACACACCAGCAAAAGTTCTTTGGATTCCTCAATAATTTTTAATAGAATTAAGGGGACCCTGCTGGACACCAAACTATCTGAGAACCACTAGGACAAATACTTACCTTAGAGGCAAGGAAATACCTTCTAGCAGAGGTTGTTACAGGAAGCAGTGGACTTAATCACTAGAGGAAGAAAAAGGGGGAAAAAAAAACTTGGACTGTTAATTGAACAAGTCCACAAACTCTTCTGAGATGTCTGTGGACGCCTGTGGTCCTATGTACACTATCAACGATGGTCCTGTTGTTGGAGAAAATTTAGTTGGCCCTAATGACCTTCGCTTTCTATGTGGAGAGAAGATGAAAGGCATCATTAACTCACAGTTATTGGTCACACAGTACCCAGAGAGCAGAAGCTGCTTCTGCTACTTAGTATCTAATATCTAGAGTATGCCTTCCATGACTGTCCTCACAGTCATGGTTCCGAGGAAAGACTGAACTCCCTTTGGGGAAGGAATCCCTTCCCTCTGGCAGAGACTGAACTTCTTCGCCCAAGCCAACTTCTGGAGCGTGCCTCTGAACTTGACTTCACCCAGGGTCTAAACAGTTGTGGGTGACTCAGTTCCATTCCTTGATCCTCATTCATAGACTAGAAGGAAGTCTTCAGAGACCACTGGAATCTGCTTAATTTCTCTATTTTTTAATTTAATTTTTTCATGTTTATTAGCATTGTGTACATATGTGTATGTGCAGGTAGGGCTATGTATGTATGTGTATGTGTTGTGACCTATGTGAAGAGATCAGAGGAAAATATGCAGCTGGAATTTCTCCTTCCATGTTTACTTAGGTTTGAGGGATGAGACTCAGGTCATCAGACTTGCACGCTGAGCCACCTCACTGACCTTCTTCTTTCTTTTGAAGGATTCATATCTATTGAAATGCTTTGGAGGCAGGGGAGCTGGAAAGATGACTCAGTGGTTAACAATGCTGGCTGCTTTAAGAGGACCCTGGTTAGGTCCCCATCACCCATGTGACACAATCATCCATAACTTCAGTCCTAAGGGACCCAATACCCTCTTCTGGCCTCTCTGAGAACTGCACACATGTAGCATCGTGCATCTGTAACCAAAACACCCATACATATAAAAAATCTTAAAGGAAATATCTTTTGGTTTCAGTAACTATTGACAGCCATGTCTGCTACTGCACTCTCTTTCTGTGGAAAGGCACGTACTTACATAGTAAATAGCTAATCCAGAAGAGAAGTGAGAGCTAAGAAATTTTAAGTCCCTAAATTTCCTTAGGGAAATTTTGTTCATTAAAGGGAATTTTTTAAAAATAATAATTCTGTAATGTTTTCAGTTATTCAGCTCCTTTCTACTACCGGCTATGTACAATATCGGGACTTTCTAGTCCTGCATTTGTACACCAGCGGTGAGCTATTCAGGCATTTTGATATTTTGAAATTTTTTAAAAATCAGATTTTTCTTTCATTATGCATTATTAATCTTCAGATTTTGTACACTGGTATATTAGAGACCCGATTCATGGTGATAGTGCTGGGTACCATTGATTCTAAGCAGTTTGCTCAAATGTCTCATCCTAAGTATTTATAGAATCAGGGTACAGCAGGCAATAGATTCCTTGTTGACATATTTTTCAATTTAATGATATCCTTTTCTAAAATGTCACATTATAGTGATCCAAGGAAAACAGTTATATCCATGCTTTTTGCCGTTTTCTCAAACCCATCATCACTGTGGAGAGCATGGGCATTCAACTTGATTAAGAAAATGTTGGCGAAAGCCTTTCATATTGTAAGTGTTGTAGATAAAAACTGAATACATACAAACTCTCAGGAGTTTGCCCTGTGTGTATTTCATGACCTAAATAGTCTCTCTTCCTGACTCTAGAAAGCTCTTCCTTCTGTGAGTCCGAGGCCAGCCTCAGCTACAAGAGCTAATTCCAGGACAGGCTCCAAAGCCACAGAGAAACTCTGTCTCGAAAAACCAAAATAAATAAATAAATAAATAAAAATAAATAAATAAATAAAGCTAGCTCTTCTTCTCCCAGTGGTGACTGAATCTTGATGTGTGTGTGTGTGTGTGTGTGTGTGTGTGTGTGTGTGATCATGACTCTTCTAGCCACAGAGAAGGCACCTCATCCAGACCACATCAATCTGAGTTCTTCCTTGTGTACTTTCTAATGAAGCAGATAATAATACCAAAAGGATCTGGTGTGAGTGTGAAGCTGACTTCCTGGCTGGCTGGCTTTGCTCATGATAGCAAACAGCTGCCAAGCTGTACACACATTCAAGGGTATTACTGTCTCCTGTAGTAGTTATCCTTTGGATGACAAGGCCTCCCCACCAAAAACAACTATGACATTCTTGAGAAATACTGTATTATTTATGCAAATTTTCAGTGTAAGTTAAGAATTTGTTTTGAGCCTCACAGTGGTGGTACACACCTTTAATCCGAGCAGTCGGGAGGCAGAGGCAGGTGGATCTCTGAGTTTGAGGCCAGTCTGGTCTACAGAGCAAGAGTTACACAGAGAAAACTCGTCTTGAGAAACCAAACGCAGAAAGAATTTGTTTTGAAATGTGTGTATATACGTTGTGTAGATGTGTGCACATGTTTGTGTGTATGTTGGGGGGCAGTACCTGCTACAGTGTGCATGCAGAGGTCAGAGGACAACCTGAGATGGCAGTCCTTGTCTTCCGTCTCGTTTGAGGTAGAGTCTCGTTATTCCTTCTGCATGTACCAGGTTAGCTGACACATGTGCTTCTAGGAATTCTCACGTGTCCACTTGGCATGGGTGCACGCTGAAATTACAGATGCACGCTGCTGATGCTGCACCCACATGTAAGTGGGTTCTGTGGAGCTGGACTCTGGTCTTCACACTTACATGGCATGCACTTCATCCACTCAGCTGTCTCCCCAGCCCAAGAATTTTGATTTGTTGATCCATGACATTTGAGTATGAAAGATGTTTTATTAAGGGAAACTAAATGTGGGTGAGACCTCTACTTGGCAAAGTAGATATTGGTCACTATGGGGATTTTCCTCCTCCCGGTTGTGTTCTAGAGGAACCCGGATGCTTACATGGGCCTGGTATATTAAGGGTGAGTAGCCTCTGGGCCATGAGACTGTACCCTCCATGTTGATGCTTCCCCCGAGCTACTCTTGGGTGCTGGCCCTCTGCCACTGGTGGACTACAGAGATGTCCTTCATGGTCACTATCCTCCCTGACCGATTACTCAGCTGTGGTGTAAGTCCTCTCTGTGTAATGGAATAATTTGTATTCTTCTTTGTCTTCTCACTTCAATCTTGGAACTTGTCTAGAAAAAAGACCTCACTAACTTCTTGTCTCCTCAAGATACCCCGCTGGACATTTTATACACAATAGGTGCTTGGGTAAGTTATTGAATGAATGAGTGAACATCAGTCAGTCATGCCAACCAGTACAGCTAACTTGAAAAACAAACAAACAAACAAACTTTCAGGGAGAATCTGGGTTTTTTTATTGGCTAAAGGACTACATCCTTCGAGCCTCATCAGTATCTTTCTATTTATACTCTACTCTGTATTTGTTATTTGTTCTGT